TTTATCCATTGCAATTTTTATTTGAAATTTCATTTTCATTCAAGAAATTGAATTCTTTCAATCCTTCAAAAGAATATCCATCTGTTTTTATTTTCCCCTTCATTGTGTGAAGTAAAGGAAGTATTGTAATTGCAAAAATTGTGGGTATCATATTTCAACAAAAATATCCATTTTGACTGTTCTCGAATCCATCTGAACCATGTTTTTGCATGACATTTGTACGCACAAAGTAAAGGTCTCTTTTTTTCCAAAACGAATTAATGGATTCAGAAGAGATTTTTTTTTTCATGACATCTGTGTATGTATTAGCTTGCATAACTCAAACAACCAATGTCTTTGGAGTTGTCTGTACTTCATCATGAATATGCTGCACAAAAATACTGATTTCTTTATTTAGTATCTCTTGAAAATGAGTTTTTAAGTATTTCTTAATTTTTATCACAATTGATTAGAAATCTACATGTCATCAGTAATGATAGTATGTAACTTAATTACTTATATCTGCTGATATATCTATTTCTTCAATGTGTTTGTCAGTCTTACTAGTAGAGGCAACTTCAGCCAGTAATATAGTTTTCTGTTTAGGCTTTTAACCTGACTGGCAAAGACAGTATCTACTAAAGAGACCTCTTCTTCCCCCCCCCCGAGGGGTTGTAGGATGTTTTAATAACAGAGTCTTTTTCTTTCTTCTGCCTGTCCTTGCTTTTCTTTTCATTTTTGGGTCCCATTCTTTTGTTTTTACTTATCCATTTTAATTAATGATAATATAGTATTTTATCAATAATTATATTTATTGTAATATTCCTTTCTTTGAAATTTTATTTTCCAACTTTAATTCTAGCAACTAATAAAGCAATTCTTAAGAATTCACAGAACTAACTATAGCCCACGACTATTACAGGACGTGGGCTCTTAGCTGTTCTGGTTGTTATCATCAAATGCATGTGTGCAGTCTAATCAAAACTAACCTATTTGGTTTGTGATAGCACCTGTTTGCTATATTTTAATACTGTCTTATATTGAAATAAAATAATAATAATAAAAAAACACTGTGTAAACAAATACAAAACGATTTGCACAAACAAAAGAGGCTAGTTTTGGTTTGATTGTCCATTGGCATTTGATGAGATTGTACTTACTGCCGTTGGACCAATATGTATAAAGAAAAGAATTCAATTTGCAGCACCAGAATTAATAAAAAAACACAATACACTACTGTGGAATTCAGTTTTATTTTTAACTTTTATATTATTCAAGAGAAGATATAAAACTCTTCTATAATTAATAAGGTAATTTCTTCACAAAATTTAAAACTGAATCCGTCCATGTCATATATCATAGATGGATTTGAGAGAAAGTTATTAATTTATTATTTCTTCTTAAATAGCAAAAGTAATGGGTCCCTAGGTATTGCCTATCTAAGCTACACCACTGGGCGAAACTAATTTATATTTACACGACACATGCAGCCTGTTTCCTGGCGTTTTAATGAGTTAAATTGCCAGGGCTTCATAATTATCCACCTAGCCATTGGTAAGCCTGAATAAATTACAATAAATTTTTATTGCAGTGAAAATAATTTTTTCATTTCTTGACAGATTATCTTCTTTTTCATGAAGATTTTACTCTTAGAGAGCCGTATATGAATAGTTAAAGAACAGTCGTAAAATAATCCAGTATATATTGCGACAAATTTTGTGTATATGTAAATAGTTTTAGTGAAACTATATATGATATTGTAGTATCTTTTCTATAATGCAATATGAAAAAACTGAAGAGAGCAAAGCTCTGCTGGAAAAATAAGTTGACAGGGCCAAGTCTACTTAAAATTGAGGTAAACAGCTATCTCATTAAATTGACAAGATATCATCGAGCTGGCGATAGTTTGGGCAACTAATTTTTGTTGTTGAATTTGGCAAGAAATTGCCAAAAATTGCCATACTTGGCAATATTTTCGTTTAGTCCCTGTATAACTGTAATTGATACTATAATTGAATAACTGTAATTTATTCCTAATTGTAACCGTATCCAGCCCATGTATATAACTTTAATTGTATATGTCTTCCAGTAATTTTGAGAAATGGAAAATGCTAGAGATTTTTTGGTAGCCAGGGGAAAACTATACAATTCCCAGAGAGAGATCTCTGTACGAGTTTCAATTTTATATGTCCTGTGCATTGCGTTGTGTTTAAACATTCTTTGTGTTAACTACTGAATGTGCTCTGTCATCTGCGATTCAGTTCACCTATAGGTGGCACTTTCACACATTAATGTGGCAGATAAAAACCGGTATTTTGATTTGTGATCTGACTTCGTACATTCAAAAATGGAGTTGCTTAGCTTTTCCGAAATGTTTGATTTTGTTCAAGGAGGCGTAAATTCTCGCTGTGTTACTGAAGCAGAGCGAATTTTAAAAAGTGGATTATTTGGTATGCATGGAATTTTACTTGAAAAATCCAATTTACAAATTTGGCTTCCTGTTTAAGAATAAGTTGTATAGCGTCCTGATCGCATGAAATCTAAGGACATTTCTTGTTAAAAAGGAGAAGTAATTTTTTTTTATTATTATTATTTTATTTTCTTGTTCATGTAAAGGAGAAACTGCTGGCTGTTGTATTGTATTGCGACAGGTAGCTGATTTTAACGTTCACTGATTGTAAACAAATGATTTCATATATGTTTAACTTGAGATTTGCAGAAAATCTGTGCAGTCAAAAGTGTCTCCCCCCCCCTCATAAAAAATCATATTGAATCATTATATACTAAAAATATATTGATCTATTATATTCGTCTATTGTATTTATATCTGTTATATACATAATAGCACTAATTATCAGATGCAATTTTGAGAATATCAACAAGCACACTTAAAAATGAAAAAAGACACTTGTAATAGAAATATTAGTATCCTATATGTATTATAGAAAATACATGCAATGAATAAACATCATGACCAAACATTTCAAAAAAAATGAGCAGATTAAGTATTACCTACCCCTCAGTACTTGAGAAAGCAATTCTGGCATATAACATTTAGTTAACTTTTGATTAAATATTACAAGCATTTTCTTTAGATTTGTCCTACAAGTGGTTAAAACGACTAAACTTATAATGCCCACAACAATAAAAAATAAACGTTTAATTACTTTATGATCACAACACGCTTCACAAACTATGTATTATTGTCAAACGTAAATACCGATTTTTAATGTTTCCACCTTTTAGCCACTAGATGGCGTATCAGAGCGCTGGAATTGTGGATACTGAGAAGAGCTGTACAAGTGCTTTATAGAAAGTTTCAGAGCTGTAAAGTGTTTCTTTAGTGAAATAAATTTTATCAAGCTATCATCGGTTCTGTGTGTATTCAATCCATTATACAAGCAACAATTTTTACTGTCAGGTGTGGGGTTAAATGCCGGTGGCAAGAGCAATTAAGACAGCTCATGGCAGTCTGTTCTGCATTCAGAGAGGTGCAGCCAAAGAATCTGTTAAAGCAGAGATGAAAAGGGGCCAAGAAAAGATGGAAAGGGCCATAAAATCAGTTCAAGAAAGATTGAAGCAGGTCAAAAGGAAATAAAAAGAGAAATTATTACCATGATAGAAAACGAATTTGAGGCTATGTAGGGTAGAATAAGCAGGGTTGAAAATAAATTTGGAGAAACTGAAGAAAGAGGTTTTGCTTTCAGACAACACATCAAAGAAAAAGTTTCTTTTGTTGAACTACAAACCAATGACAGAGTTTCTCCTCCTGTCACCAAGGAAGTTAACAGCTTGAAGACATCCATAATGACAGCTGGTCATAACTCAGACACCTTTAAATTCATACATATGCCATCCTGAACCTCTCTAAAACTATCCGCATATGATGGAAAAATTACCTGACAAATGTGCAAGGCTCAGTTCTCTGTAGTGGCAACTGTAAATAGATGGGATTATGAAGCTAAAGCCTGCCATCTCGCCTCTTGGTCTGAGAGCAGACGTACTAGATACCCTTCGAACTCTGCTTTAGAATCAGAGATTTCAAAGCTCTGTCTGGTGCATTTGAGCTGCCCTTTGACGAGAGGTGTTATTATAGCAGGCTTTATTTGAAATTTCACCTACGGAAGCCCATGAAAATACTTCATGAGCTTCCCGCAGATGTTGAAAGGCCGTCTTTCTCACGTTGCCTTTTCGGACTGCCCATCAGAAATGAGAAATCCTGTCCCTGCATACTTCATTGATGGCATCTGTGATCCTAATATACAGAAAGCCCTGTGAATGGGAGATGTAAAAGATCTGAAAGGCACTTTACTGATGGCCATGAGATTCGAAGCTACCCAGCAATCAACTTGTAGAGACCAACTTTTCTACTAAAAATTGCCCAATTTCATTTCAGAACACTATAAATTTCCAAATGAATTTATTATTGTTTTCTCTGAATTTTTTTTTTTTTTTTTTTTTTTTTTTTTTTTTTTTTTTTTAAAGCTCTAACCCCCCCCCCCTCCCAAAAAAAAAAAAAAAACATAAGAATATTCACCCCAAAAATGGGGGATGGGTGGAAAGTTTTTGCTGACTGCTAATTTTAATAAATATTAATAAAATATTTTTAATACTGCATTTTTTCCTTTGGTATATTTAAATGCATATTTAGCTCAATTTAATTATGAATTTTATTTCAATTGTTATTGTAATAAAAAATGTTCCGTAATGATTTAATTATTTAAAAAATATATTACTGTTGATTTTTTGATCATAACTTTTAATGTAAGAAGTGTATTCATCTTATAAAACAGGATGTTTTAATGAAATATTGCATGAACTTTGAAATGCGTAAAAAATATGTACTTTATGAAACATTTTCATGGGAAACTCATGTCAATTTAATCATACAGCCCATGCTTATTTTTTCCCTTCAGCTTATGATTTTAGTGTTTCCTTGTAGCAGGATATTGCTATATTATAAAAGTAAGAATTCACATGTTGACAATTTTTAATGTTTTTGTTGTTTGTATTTAATTTAGGTTTTCATGTTCTGGGTTGTGGATAATTTCCTAATGCAAAAACATGGACGATGGAAACAGTGTGTTGTAAATGGTAAAGTCAAAATCCAGTATGAAAGAAGTGATCAAGAATCGTGTTCTGAGTCAGAAATACTATTGTCAGGTGAGGATGATCCTCTGGCAGTTGAAGTTACCTGTCAACAAAGACATCCAATGCTCATTCCAGTCTCTTGAGCAATTGTACACTTTGCCCAGTTTTGACCAAAGCATATATATATCTATGTACTGAAAACCAAAGATATATCTTTTAAACATATGTGTAATGTGTGCTGTTTAATGTTAGAATAATTTGTGTTGAAAATTTTATAAAACTGTTAGCCTGTTTCAGTGCAAGTTCGTATTAATAACCTTATTTGTATTTTATTTTAAAGCTATCAAATACACTAAGGTAACAGTTCCTCTTTTCTGAAATACAATAATGTAAAATTAAAATATTGACTTGTTATAAAATTTTAAAAAATATTAAATTGGGGAATTTTTTTTAATATAGTAATCCCTCGATTTTCAAAAGATTATTTTTTATTGTTCTACAGTTAACATAGTTATCTGAGTCAGGTACAAGACCTTCAACTATCCACTATTTTATTTGCTGACACTAATCTGTGTAGGTACTAGACAATTACTAATTATAGATTTGCTGCATGATAAAATATCTGGCATTTCATCATGTAACAAATTCCATAACTATTTAAAATTAAATTAAAAGTTTGTCATAGGTAATTGTACCCTGAGTACAGTTTAAAGATTTGCTGAACATAAAACAGAATTTTAAAGCTTAAGACTAAAAATTTCATTTATCAGTATTGAAAATCTAAAAGTAATGACCTTGAGAAGAATGAAATTTATTCTGAAAAATTGTGGTTCTTATAGGTAAGGGTGATATCTTTTATTGGAGCCCTTAAATCTATTTTGATTTAGTATTTTTTTAGGATAATTGATAAATCTATAAAATAACCCCCAGATTCAGAAGTAATAAACTTCACTATCTTTGACTTCACTATCCTGCATGTAATTTTTGCTTAGTTTTCAAACTTATACTAATCTTTATGGGCATACAGATTTTTCTTTACTCTGCATGCAGAGTTAAGTATCTTAAAAATAATTTTCTGTGCCATTTTTTTTTAATTCTACCTCGCAGTTAATTTGTTATGTCTAGTAAAAAATGGAAGGCAGTTTAAAATATTAGTAAATTTATAAGGAAGTTGATTTATATTTATTCTTATGTTTAATGTTCAGTCTCCTTGAGAAATTGGTGAATCTGTTGGAACTGCATCTTGCATTTGCAGATGATGAAGATAAAACCGGGACTTAAAACTTTACTGGGGCTCATATCAAGTAGCTTTCATAATCTCTGTATTTTAACCCATTCACAGTACATCTGCAAAATTTTAGAACTCATTTTTTTAACCAGTTTTAATAGAGTTGCCCAACAATAATTGTTACTATTATTATTTAATCTTCTAATTCAAGAATTACTAATTGAGTGCTTGTTAATGCATCTCATTTGCTTTCTTTACACAATGTCTTATATTGAGCTGTATCCATTTCGTGTTATGGATTCAAAGTATAAACAATTAGAAGCAATGAAGTTTTCACCAGACAAATGCACCTATCTTCAAGTATTTATTATAAAGAAAAGTGTAAGCATTCTAAATCATCCTTTTCAAGATTTGAAACATATTTAAACTACTTTCTAGTTCTGAAAGTGAATTCTTACCTTAATGGCATCTTCTGAAAAAAATTCTGAATTGTATAATAAAGTATAAGGTTGAAGAGTATTCTTACTACTAATTTTTAAAATAGTATACAAAAGCTCTTTGAACATGACAAGAAATGTATGGTGTTAGAAGGATGAACAATAAAATTGTTTTCCTAGAATTTTGAACTTTTACAAATTCAGTGATAAAAGTTTTTAGGTGCACTGTTATATGTAGTGATGGGCAACTTCGGTACATTCTTGTACCCGGTACGAGAGTAACGGGTACAGACAAGTACCCAGTACAAAATACCCGTTACTCAATTAACTGTTACTTTGAAAAGTACCGAAAACCGATTTCAAGTACCGAGTACCCAAGTAACGATTTGGAGTACCGAAGTAACGAAATACCGGAGTAACGGTTTGCTGTACCGTAGTACCCTAGTAACGGTTTGTTGTACCGGAGTACTCTAGTAACAGTTTGCTGTACCGGAGTACCCTAGTAACGGTTTGCTGTACCGGAGTACCCTAGTAACAATTTGGAGTACCAAAGTACCCTAGTAACGATTTGGAGTACCGAAGTGCCCTAGTAACGATTTGGAGTACCGAAATATACAGCTAACGATTTTGCAAACTGAAGGAACTCTGCCACGTCACTACGTGTTTGATTTTATCTGTACGGAGTAAGATTTTGAATATCAGAAAACATGTCAACTACGGAAGTGTCTGAGGAGCAGACCATTCATGGACACAAGGAGCGCATATCACCATTTCGCAAATACAACCATATACTACTGTTCTCGTACCAAAACCGAAGTGAGCTGAACCCTCATCAATCCTCCAGTAACGAATACCGAAATACCAAGAAGAGACGCATATTTTCGTTGCAAAGTAACGAATACCGAAAAGCACCCGTTTCGGTACAGAAGTAACGAATACCGAAAAGTGCCCATTTCGGTACAGAAGTAACAAATACCGAAAAGTACCCATTTCGGTACAGAAGTAACGAATACCAAAAAGTACCGATTTTGGTACTGAAGTAACGGGTACTTGGATGTACCGATTTTCAGTACCCGTTACAAAATACCCGGTTCGGTAGTACCGACTCATCCCTAGTTATATGTATAAACTTGCTTCTCCTGCATTGTTTTCAGTTTAACTTCATACTTAATAACAAATTTAGTATTTTGTAAAGAAGTATAAAATTTCTTGAATTAATTTTGTTCCAAGTCATATTTATTTTGGAGAAAACGACACAAGATAATTGTTATAAGTTTATTAAAGATGTAAATTTAATGCTTGTGATGAAAAGATATATAATGAAATATTTTTCTATGAAGATTTTAAAAAAGGTTTACATTTTTCAAGTGAACATAAGCTTCTATTAGCAGTAGATAAATAAAAGTTATTTTGATAACTGAAGTTTTTCATGTACAAAAATTTTTATGCAAGTTTAAAATGAAATCTTTTGCAACACTCTAACTCAGAATGAACATCTGTTAAAACTCAATTGTTTATAAATTTCATATTAATGAGGGAAAACAGAAAATTTATTTTTGAACTTATACAGTGTGCAATTAGAAGTGAATTAGAGGCTACAAAAATATTGTGTCATCCATTACCAGACTTGGTTCTGAAATTATCTAAATTTATATGTTTTTTATTTTAATATTTTAGTCTGATGTGTTAAAATTTTAGTACTTTAAATTATTATATGTACTTATAAAACTTCATGAATAAACTGAATTATTGTTATATATATTTTAAAGAATAAAGTTGCCTAGGCTAAATAGATTTATGAATACAGAAGATATAATGAAGTTAGCATTATTCCTTTGCCCTTTCCAAATACAGATTCAAAAAATAAAATGTATTATGTGTAGATAGCAGAAAATTTGTTCTAAAAAAATTGCTCTAAAGGAAATGAAATTTTTAATCTATTAACATTTAAATTGTTGATAACTGAGCAAAAATTTGAGAGATAAGTTTGCAAATAAAAAAATATGTTTGTAAGTGACAATATTTTGGAATTTCAAGAGCATGTATTTTTTAAATCTTTCAGTAATAAAATATTTATCGAGGGATTATTGTATGCATTTTGAAATTTTCCATTTTAGATAATTAGATTAAGTAATCTAAAGTTAAAATATTTATACTTTAAATTTCTTCAGCCATTTTAATTTGTACATGTGAAAGCTTCTGTAATGGTTCTAATACTATGAATTGCTACACCATTGAACAGTATAATGCATTGAAATTTGGTATTAAAGTCAATCATCACTGAGAATAACCAATTAAATATTTTCTAAAATTTTAAATGAAATTTATATCCTCCTAAGGTTTTAATAAACTGCATAATATGGCATAAATACAATGCAATGAAACAGAAAAAGTATTAAAATCAAATTATAAATTCTTTATTAATTTACATGCTTATCAATTGTTTAATTTAATATTCTGATGTTTATCTTGCAATTAACTGAGAAAACTAAAATGCCTTTTGTTTTGCCTTTTTAATTCTTTACTATTGTAACAACATTAACTGTAAATTTTTACATTAGATTATAACATTAAAAAATGCCAGATACATATTTTAACTTATTATTTAAATATGAATGTTATATCAGTTATGCTGTTACTTAAAATTTAGTTTACTTCATTGTTTGTTTTAAAGTTGAAGGGGGGGAATAGAAAATAGTTCAGAGCTGCAGGAAATGTTTCTGTAACATAAAATCTATTTTTATGAAATTTCTCTGACTTAAAATCAAAAATACTCAAAATACCAAATAATCATTTATTACATGTATTTATGTATATATAAACAGAGAGAGAGAATTTCTAAAGCAAGTTGCCGATTACAGTTTAACAGGTGTTTGGAATGTTCAAATTACAAGTCTTTTGCAAGTGTCTTCTCGGCATTTAAAAAAATATATTTAGTTATATTTAACCTCCATCCATAGTTTTACAATTGTGTAGAAAAATTGGCAATACAATTTATATACTGAAGAGATCAAAACCAAATCAATCACTTAAAATGGATCATTTTACTTCATATTTTTGCTAGGCTCCATTAAAATTATTTTAAATTAACAAATTTTAATCTTTCAGTGGAAAAATTTCAAATAATCATTTGAATTATTTGTATAAATTAATATCAATATTTTAGCTTTACATACTTCAGAATACTTACTGGAATATTGTCTGATACATTTCTCTATCATGCAATATCTTTGGTTTAATAAAAATGTAATTTTAACTGAATGACTATAAAAATAACCATATTGTAATAACGGGGAATGTAATCTACTGTCAAAAAGAATTTTTGAGTAGCATTAATATAAAATCTTTCTACTAGCTTTCATTGAATGAACTTGACAATTTTTCTGGGTATTAATTGTGTTTTTTTTCCCTTGCACGTTTTTTTAATTTAATCATCATGGAGAGAAATTTTTATCGTTAGTGAATGAATTAGAAAGAAAATGTTCATAAATATGGATCTGAATAAAAAGTGTATACCAAAAGAACGATCTGATTTCTTATATCATTAATTTTTAAAGTGCATTTTACTTACAAGTTATTGTGAAACTAGAAAAAAAGCTTTATTTCTTTGCTTTTTTTATTTTTTTATTCAAAGACGTTTTGAAAGAAGAATACATGAAAGCCATTATTTCAATCATAGTATTGTAAAAATATTCTGAATTAGCTTTTAGAAAGCTTATCCACCATGAATTAGTTTCTTTTTGTTCCTCCATAGATGACTTTTTAATGCATACTAGTTCATGTTTATTTATTTATTTATTTATTTATTTATTGTGTATGTGTGCATGAAAGACTTTTATAGTAATATCTGCTTGAATTTTGAATGGTTAATATTCCCTTTAACTGGAAATCGAAATTGGTTGGAGGACTATTAAAAGCCATCTATCTTTATGCTAGACTGAGAGCTATGCTAGTCGTACAGAAGGAACAAAATTTAAGAATCTTGAAAATGGTAAAGAGATCAGAGGTAGCTGGTTTTCTCACCCCCTTAAAACAGCATGGCTCCCTCTTTCTCTCTCTGCTATGATTGTATCTTACTACTAGTAATTTGAAACCCCCTTTGATAAGAAAAGCAGTCTCAGTCATCGCATTAATACAAGTAAAATTCTTATATGCAGTATTTAAAAAAAAAAAAAAAAATCTTATTTAAAATACAACTTGTTCTTTAACTGAAATATATATATATATATATAAATATATATAACAATTAATACAACATTGTATTTAAAAGAAGCTAAAGATTTTACTACTCAGTCAAAGAAAAAAGCAGTGTTATGCAACAGAACCTACTTGGTTTAGGGAAATATTTCCTTACACAACTTTTTAAGGAAAGCCTACTTGTGTTAAGTTATCCATGAAACATTTTTTTAAAACATTCGGACAGTCACCGGACAGATTTATCAGGGAATTGAATCCTGTGTGATTTGGCAAAGCATTATCCACTAGACCAGTAGTTCCAAAGTGAAATTGCATGTGAACCAAATGCACAATCTGAAAATAGCTGACAGGCCAGAATTTTTTTTTTAAATCTTTCATACAAAATAATAATATGATAAAAAAGTAAATTCATATAGTAACATACACAATAAATTATAACATGACATAGGAAATAAATTCAAGTTTATACTTATTTTGAACCGCACATCTGATTCAGTTCCTGTAAACATTGATTTAGTATTAATGATAGATCATTGTAGATTGCATTGTACAAGAAATCCTGATTCTGGCCAGAAAGTTGGCAACAGTGATGGAGGTGACAATAAAGTGTAGTTATAGTATTTGTATGCAATATATTATTATTGTTTTAAGTTTGAGCATCAATCAAATCATTCGACACTACGGGTGATTTTTTTAAGGCCTATTACCAAAGCATGGAAAAGATATGCAATACTAATAATTTAATAAATAAGAAAAATGTATGTTAAAATATGAAATAAGTCTTGGCAAAATTTCAGGTAATTGTTATACTTATATTGGCACTTTCTCATTAATTATGCCTTCAAGAAACATTTTCAGTTCATTGGCAGTTTATAAATTGGTGAGATATATTTCTTAGGCTATAATTTTTACATTGTTCTTAAATAATATTAAATTTTAAAAAAATCATTTTTTAAGAGAAAAGAAATTTTATTCATTGGAGGTG